TACCTCTAAAAGAAACTACCCAACTCTAAAAATGCTCCGCCGATTACTTGAACCGCAAGGAATACCTAGACAGACCTATGAAACACCAAATTGAAAACGGACAAAGTCCTTGGAACTCTAGACGAATCAAGAATGTATAAGAGATGCATGATCACACATGCTACAATATTCCTCTAAAACAAATTTAAGAACATAAGGGGAAAAAGGAGTCGAAACTTACTTACTCTATTAAAGAAACTGATCGGGTAGAAACGTAGACCTTGTTGCCGTAGTCGATTAGGTACCTCCTGATTGCCAAATAGATTACTCGGGAGTTAGAACTCTTAGAGAGAAGGTAAAGAACTATAGAAAAGTGGTTTATAGAGAGATGATACGTTTTAAAATAATGAAACTCGTTTATAACAAAATTATTTATAATAAAATCGTTTAATATTAAAATAATCGAGTCTCACTATTTTTAGACTGTCATCCCTTCTAAAAATACCATTTTCTGGAGTTTTACAATTTATATAAAATTATTTCAATTTAAAAATAATTGAACTAAATTGTGATAAAATAAAAATAAAAGACCTAAATTAAAAATTTTCATCTTATATTTGTATTAATAGTAATATGTGAATGTGACATTATCTCTATTATATAATAAAATCTTCGTAATAAGTGACAATTTTAAAAACAAAAGAAATAAAAAAAAATCACAAATAATCAAATTATATCATATTTTAATAATGATGACAAGATCCAAACCAATTAAAATCTAATGTTTTAATTGATATTTTGAAACACGACCGTGTTTAAACCATTTTAATTATTTGCATTTATTTTTTCTATCTTTATGGATGTGGTCGGTCTTCTTTCCACCAAAATATGCAAGTGTCTCCATTGGTTGTTTTTCTTTATATCTCTACACATCTTTTTTCACTCCCATCTTTTTTTAAATTCTAAAACTATCTTTTACATTTTAAAAGAATTTATATTTCAATTTTTTTTAATTTTTTTTAATAGATTTCAAAATTCGTTAAATTTTTTTCAAGTCATTAACAAATTCCGAAACCGTTAAAATTTAAAAAAAAATCTTTTAATAGATTTTGAAATTCTCTAAAAAAAATTTAATGAATTTTGAAATTTGTTAAAAAGATCTTTTAACAAATTTTAAAATCTGTTGAAAAAAATCTTTTAATAAATTTTGATATCTATTAAAATCGTAATCTTAAAATTATTTTTGGAATATAGAGGTACTTAGAAAAATGTGGGGTGTTTATTTATGTTTTACGTAAATAAGAGTGTTGAAGTAAAAAGAGAAAATATATGTCACTAGTGTAGTCAAGGGAAATGACAACGGTTATTTTCATTTATAAGCATCGGTTCTTCGACTGAGGCATATACAAGTGAGGTAAAAAGGGATAAACTTGTTGTCTCGGTTCTGAACCGAGTCAAAAGTGTTCGGATTTTGCCTCGGTTCACAGACAACCGAGGAAGTAGAGTGTTTTTAATTTTTTTTAATCTCAACCGAGATCACTTGTTGGTTCCTTATTTTGTTCTGTTTTTCTATGTTCTTTTGATTTCTCTTTTCCTTCTCTTTGTGCCTTACACTTCTTTCTCTATTTTTTAATCTCAAGCTTATCCTGTAATTTTATTTCATCCATGTTTTTACACAAGTGAGGGCAAAAATACTTGATCCTTTTAGGAAGAAAATTACTTTTGACAAACTCAAAGGATAATGTCCTGTTGAATATTTAACTCCATTGCATCCATTGTAATCATACATTAGTGCATCATTGCATCCACAAACATTCTGCACAAGTTGTGGTTTACATCAGTTATTTAACTTTCAAACAAGTTGCAAAGAGATCAATTGTGAAATGAACTTAGTTTATACCTGGAGCCCAACTCTGCATGATAGACCTTGTATCACCATCTACAGGAATTGGTGGCAAAGAATCTTTTGACACATACATTCTCCAGAAGCAAACCTTCTCTCAAACAAAAGAAGCTCTAGAAGCCGTGATCAGAAACCTTCGCTCAAACCATAATTTCTTTCCAGGCAAACTCCAACCGACACTAACAACCCAGATTTTCAATCCCAATCATCAACATCCACCCCAAGACCTTTCCTAGTGAGCAATCAAAAGTCATAGAGAAAACTAAGAAGCAGAACCCCAATTCAAGAGGTGAATCCAAATAGCAAACACTATCCATTTGTCATCCACCTGTAGAGAAACAGAACCAAAATCCAATGAAGAGAAACATAGATCCACTGGCTACACCCTCACCGCACCGTCGCTACGCTCTCACCGTCATCGCAACACCGTCTCTGCTCTCTCGCCGCACCGTCACACCCTCTTACCGCCATCGCAACATCGTCGAGAAAAAGGAGAATAGGAGATGAATGCGTGGTTGAAGAAGATGAGGCAGCGGAAGAAGCACACAGATCTATATACTCTAGGTTTTAGTGTTGAAGAGGAAAAGGAAAAAGCAAACCCTAGATCTGAAGGATTGTTCGGTGAAGGTTAGAGATCAGGGTTGTATGATGGTTTAATCGGTGAAATGGTCTAATTAAACGGTGGAAAACGCTGGAAACGAAGATTTAACCAATGTAAATGGCTTAAACTCAATTTCAATCAGTAAGAATGAAGGAAAGGTAAAATGGTGGATCTGACTTACGGTGAAGGTTCTGTGATTGTGGATCTGTGAAGCTGAGGACAACGAAGTTATGGCTGGTGTAGGTGAAGCGGGAGAGAATGAGGGAGACTCGCGTGCAGAGGAGAGGGAAGAGGCATTTGGGGAAAAGTTTCCTCTTTCACTACCCAAAGGCTAGGTTTTCCTAGCTTTAAGCTCCCACGGTCCAAGCCCAATAGAAAGGCTTATATGCCTCGATCCATCTGCCAACCGAGGCAGTATCTTTGCCACGTGAGGTTTATGCCTTAGTTCACTCTGCCAACTGAGGCAGTATTATCTTTAGACACATGTTGCTTAACAACCGAGACATATAGTGTTTTAAAAATTACAAGATTGCCACCGCGTTTTGATATGTTTCGGTTCCAGAAAAACCAAAGCGTAATGTGCGAGTTAAAAATACGATTTTTTACTAGTGTGTGTATGTTATGAATGCAAAGATGAAAGAACTATATTTGCTTTTGAATGCCAAAGTAAGGATGCATGAGTTTTTATTGGTAGAAGGAATGGGGTTTACGTAATTAATGATGGAAAATGTATGGAAACTAAGTGTGAGGTCCATGTGTGTGTGTGAAGACTTTTTTTATTGCATGGAGAAGAATGATGTTAGGTAACTGGAAAAGTGAATAATTTGTATTAAATAAAAGTGGGGCCATGGGTAGTTAGAATAAATTAAATTAAAAGTATGGAGAGTTGTTTACGTAAATAATTTATAACATGTGAGATTATTAGTTGTCTTTATATTATTGGATCCAGGTGGGGTCCACTTGGGTGTTGAATGGGCTTTGGAGTGTTCAAACAAATAAGGGAGGTGTAGGTAGTATATATATTTGGCCATTGTTAACTTGAGTAGACATATACTATTTTATGGGTTTGGTTGTTCTTATAGAAAATAAAAGGGGTGTGTTTAGTACATGGGTGACTATTGTTGGGTGGTTTGGTTGACTTGTCATTATTTTGATGATTACTTTATTCTTGTTTCGAGAATGTCTATCACATCGGGCTTACCGTTTGGTTGTGTGAGTATAATGTTGTTTATTTCTTGTAAAATTTGGTTTATGTTTGTGATGCCCGGTGAAGCTCTTAGAAGAGTGATGGAAGTAGCATAGGTACTTGTCCGGTGAAGCTCCCCATGAATAGAGTGCTGGGGGGGTGTATACTTGTCTGGTGAAGCCCAAAAGGGTGGTGGAAAGCATATACTTGCCAGGAAAACTCTAAGAGAGTGGTGGGAAGTGGTGGGAGATGTCATTGTGTAAGAGTGTGGTAAACTGTACTGACCCGATCAAGTTCTTTAAGAGAGTAGTGGGAGATGTCATTGTGTAAGGGTGTGGTAAAGTGTACTAGCCCGATGAAGCTCTTTAAGAGAGTGATGAGGGTTGACATTTAACCTTAAAGTTGTATGTAAGTAACCGGTAGTGATTCAATATATATGGTGAATGGTTTCAATAAATTAGGTATGAGTTGGCGAGTAACCGACTGAGTTTGGGTGTGATTTGGTTACTTTGATGAAACAATTGTATGATTATATGTAGATGACTTTGATTTATGATAGTGTAGTTGTTAATGAATTGTTTTGATGACTTGTTTCTATTGGCTCACCCTTGTATGTTGTGGTTGTGGTTTCCACTTGAGATGATCGTATTTTTACAGGAGTAGATGTTGTTATAGGTATAACTAAAGCAAAGTTGAGCGACGAGATACGCGGGAGAACTATGGGATTTAAATTTCAACATTAATAGTTTTGTAATGAAATTTTATGAACACTTTATAGTTACATTTGATTTATGAAGTTTTTTAAATTCAGTTAAAATAAATAGAAGTTTTTATACAGTCTGTATTCCGCAATGGTATCAGAGTTAAGTTTTCAAAAGCTTTTGTAAACCTGTGGCATCCCAGAATTGGAGTGTTACACATTGTTGCATGTGTGCATGTGTGTTTGCATATATATGCAAGTGTGCAAGCATGTGCAAATGTATGTGTGCATGTATATGCATGTATGCGTGTGTGTTTGTGCATGTGTGCATGTATGCATATAAACATGTGTTCATGTGTGCATGTATGAATGTATACATGTGTCCATGTATGCATGTGTGCATGTGTGTATGCATACATACACATTTTCAAGAAAGTAGTATAATTGTCAATGTTTTTTGGAATACTTCCTGTCAGACTTTTGTTTCTTACATCACTACAAAATAGGAGAAAGACAAGCATAAACATTTTTGCAGCTTTTATTATAAAAGACAATGATTGTATAACTTACAAATACCACAACCCAGTTAATTGACACATATATGGTGAGAGTGAACCAATCAAATTGTTCCCTCTCTAACCCCTATTAAATGGATAAGGAAGGAAGGAAAAATAAAGTCAACACTAAGTTTATGAAATAACAATTTCATTTGCAAATTGTGTATACTCACAAATACTACAAATCTTTGTTGTAGTATATAAGCCTTGGTATTTTACCACCGAGATTATTTTGAGCCAGGTCTCTAGAAAACATTTTCTAGTAGTCTAGAAAGTCAGTTAATAGAGTCTAAAATAGTGTCGAGAAGAGAGCAATGGGGAGTGAGAAATACAAGAATGACTTACAAAATCTTCAAATTAGGAATCTGAGACAAAGTTGAAGGAATTGGTCCAATGAACTGGTTGTTCTTTAAAATCCTGAGATATAATTTACTTAAAATCGAAAACCTGTCATAACCTCTTCCCAAAATAAAAAAAATTCATTTGAAAGGAAATGCCATAAAATACTCACAGATTCTCTAGTTGTTTCAACTTAGAAATAGAAAACGGGATATCCCCTCTAATTTCATTAAATGACAAGTCCCTGAAAACACGATAAATATCAAAGTTCCAAGTAAATTGTTGTGTGGTATAAATACAAAATGAATTCAGTTCAAGGGAGAAGCATACAAGTTCTTCAATGAAGAAAAGTCACCAATCTCATCTGGCATCTACCCCGATAACTTGTTCTCTCTCGAGTCACTAAATAAAAAAGAGGAAAAATGCATAAGCAAGACAATACAAATGCCTCAACTACATTACTGCACCAAAAAAAGGGCGAAGGAGAGTAACAATTACATAGAGACCAAGCTCTGAAGCTTCCCTATTGCAGGTGAAATTTCCCCACCAAGATTCAACCTAGAATGATTACTACAAAACAAAAAAGCGTAAGAGAAAAGAAAACTGTTATATATACAATGTACAAGGGCAAAGTAACTCACAATGCAACAACATTAAATGTGACATTGTCGCATGTTATCCCTCTCCAAGCACAATAATCAGATGATGGTAAGTATGTCCAATCATATAGAACGTTATCCACATCCCTGAATGACTTCTTTATATCCAAAGTCCAAAAATTAAACCATGAAGAACATATTTAGAAGCTTTAAACACAAGTATACACATGCATGCATAGATGCACACATGAACACATTGATACATGCAGACATGCAAACATTCATACATGCACACATACATATGCACATGCATGCCCACTAGCACACATGCATATGTGCATACATGTATACATGCATGCACACGTATGAACTTGCATGCACACATGCATACATGCACACCTGCATATATGGATACATACATACATGCACACATTCGCACGTGCAAAAAATGGCGAAGGAAAGTAACAATTACATAAAGACCAAACTTTGAAGCTTCCCTAGTGTAGGTGAAATTTCCCCACTAAGATTCAACACAGAAAGATTGCTGCAAAACATAAAAGCGTAAGAGAAAAAAAAACTAGTATATACGATGTACAAGGGAAAAGTAACTCATAGTGCAACAACATTAAATGTGACATTGTCGCATGTTATCCCTCTCCAGGCATAATAATCAGATGATGGTGAGTCCAATCATATAGAACATTATCCACATCCCTGAATAACTTCTTTATCTCCGATAGTGTTGTTCCTGCAATAGAAATATTCAGTCCAAAAATTAAATCATAAAGAACATATTTAGAAGCTTTAAACACATGCAAGCACACATCCACACGAGCACACATGAACACATTGATACATGCAGACATGCATACATGCATACATGTATACATGCATAGATGCACACATACATATGCACATGCATGCCCGCAAGCATACATGCATGCACACATGCATACGTGCATACATGAATGCACACATATGAACTTGCATGCACACATGCATATATATGTAAGCACACATGCATACATGCACACATGCATACATGCACACATGCATATATGAATACATACATACATGCACACATTCGCACGTGCAAAAAATGGGTGAAGGAGAGTAACAATTACATAGAGACCAAACTTTGAAGGTTCTCTATTGGAGGTGAAATTTCCCCACTAAGATTCAACCCAGAAAGATTGCTGCAAAACATAAAAGCGTAAGAGAAAAGAAAACTAGTATATACGATGTACTAGGGCAAAGTAACTCACAGTGCAATAACATTAAATGTGACATTGTCACATGTTATCCCTCTCCGTTGACAAAAAGCATATACGCTGACGTTTAAAAATAAATGGACCAATTGAAAACAACAGAGGAAGTGTCATGCTTGACTGCAAAGAGAGAAAGAAAATAAAAACTTATTTTTCCGACATCCTTCACCAAGAAAATGAAACGAGAGAGAAAAACACACGAAGGGTACTAGGATTTCTAGCAATAGGACTCCAAGTCATACACCTCTCTATTAAGAACCACATAGCCACAACAACTTTCAACATTGTTAAGCTCTCATTCTCCTTCCCGACAAAAACTGGCAGCAATAACCATGCCAAAGAATCCAAACACACGCAAACAAAAACTTGAAACTGGAAACAACACTCACCATCATCAGATTCCACAGAGTTAACACTCAAGCAAAATAAAAAAGGCAAAAATGAGGACCCTAAATCGAAATGCCATGGCCACAACTGCAGGACTTCAACTTTTTCTACATCTTCTAATTAATAAGCTAGTATAAATAATATGAATAAAATGTGTCATTTTCAATGAGTAATGCAATCCATTTGAGATGATAGGGACAACTTTCTCTTTCTGGTTTTTTCTTTTTTGCCAGTCTCATAGGCATTGGATTCAAGTTCATAATATTATGTATTTTTTTTCTCCCTTCAATTTATTTATTTTTCCTATTTATCTCAACCCCCCGTCTCCCTCTCTGTCTCGTATAGTCTAATTTATTTATCTCATTTGTTTGGTAGTTATGCATCCTCATATTAATTATTTATTATTTAACACTGTCTCTATGATTGCTCAAAGGAATTCTCTAGTGCTTTGTTTTGATCAAATTTTGAAGTTAACTGAAAAATGAAAGTATATAATAATGAGGTAAAGGTTGAAAGATAATGTGACAAAATTTAGTACATGTCTCTATCAAGCAATTATCTGAATAGTGACATTCAACTGTTAAAAAAACACTCTTGTTCTTGTTTCTTGTTAATTTGTGGTTCTTGTTTGGGTGTTTCACCCTGCACCTTTCAACTGTTTCACTATGTACCTCCAAACTTAAAAAAATTGACAATTTCACCCCTAATTAAAAATACATTTAATTTGTAAAAATTTGAAAAGAATATGGTCAAAGATTCTTAAACAGTTTCAGTTAAGGTATTTGACCTACACCTCCAACTTTTTGAAAAATTCAATTTTTAACTTTAATAAATATATATATTTTTTTAATTTTTTCTCCTGCATCCCTTTAACAGTATACTTTTTGACAGATTTTAAAATCTCATTCATAATTTTTTTTAAATTTTATTTTTAGGTTTAAAATTTAATAATAATCTAATTTAATTAAAAATTTTAATATTATTTAATATATGTTTTTATCTTGATAATTATTAAAATATAATTTCTATTATTATAATAGTTATATTTAGAAAAATAAAAGTAATTTAAATAAAAGTACTAACAATAAAAAGAATAAAAAAATAATAGTATAAAATTTGATTTAATATATTTAAATATATTAAATTATATTAAACTATTAAATTAAATTAAATAATTACTAAAATTTAAATAAATAAAAATGAAAAAAAAATTGGTTATTAGAATACCAAATCTGTTAACATATTAGTCAATTTAGATAGATAAACCTTTTTTTCAAATTTTGTTTTTTATTTAAAATATAATAATTATTTAAATTAATTTAATATATTTAAATAGAATTCAATATTTTTAACTTTTATTATTAATACTTTTATTTTAATTATTTTAATTTTAAATTTTTTAATGAAACTATTCTAAAAATATAAATCATATTTTAATAATTATTAAAATATAAAAGTACTATAACTAATATTAAAATTAAATAATTACTAAAATTGATATAAAAAATAAAATTTAAAAAAATAACTTTATCGATAAAGAAAATTTTTAACCTCGGATTTTGATATCCGAAAGTTTTTCAAAATTTAGTTTCTTATTTAAAATTTAATAATTAGTTTATTTAATTTAATATTTTCATGTATTTTAATATATTAAAACAAATTTTATATCAATAATATTTTTTATATTATTACTATTTTTTTTAATTATTTTAATTTTATTTTTTTATATAAATATTATTATAATGTGAATTATTTTTTAAGTTCTTATTAAAATATATTAAATAATATTAGAATTTTAATTAAATTAAATAATTATAATTTTAAATAAAAAAATTAGAAAAAATTGTTTATTGGGTATTGAAATCCGTTCATATGATATCTTGCGAAAGTTTTTTAAAATTTTGTTTTTTATTTAAATACTAATAACTATTTAATTTAATTTAATATTTTAATGTAATTTAATATATTTAAATATATTAAATAAAATTTTGTATTATTTTTTCTATTTTTATTTTCATTATTATTATTTTTATTTTAATTATTTTAATTATTTTAATTATTTCTTTTAATATAACTATTATAATAATAAAAATTATATTTTAACAATTATTAACATAAAAACTTACATCAAATAATATAAAAATTTTAAATTAAATTATATTATTATTAAGGTTTAAGCCCTCGGTTCGTCTCGTATGGTGAAGAATTTCAAGTGGGTCCTCGTTTTTTTAAACTGTCAAAATTGGATTCATATACTTAGAAAATTGAGCTAATTTTGTCCTCTCCGTTAAGTTTTGATAGACGACGTTAAAATTTGCTGACGTGGTGCACACTTAATCTGCTGATACGTCTTATATTACGTGAAATTTGTTATTTAAGTTAACAATTTTTGACATGACACAAAATTGAATTAATAATCATAAAGGGGATTCATCCACACCAGGTGCAAGGGATGTTGGATTGATTCTCCCTACACCTCCCTAACGTCATCCTGCACCTCCCAATTTTATTTTAATTCTAATTGTACCCTTACCCCCCCTAAGTCTACATCTCTCAGAGTCAGAAGCTTTGTTTTGTAAAATATTGACCCACTAAAATAAATTTGAACATTTCTTCCGCATCTCACCCCAAACCCTACACCCCTTGATTATTTATTCTTTCTCCCTCTGGTTGTCTTCCCCTCCTCACCTCCTCCCTTTTTTTTTACCATTTTTGAACGTGTTGCGGTATTCCTTCCCCTCCTCGCTCCTTGTATGATCGAATATATGTTAGTATGGTTGATTTGCATATTTTTTCGTTGCTTGATATGTGCTAGGCGTTGGAAGTAGGCGAGATGCAGGGTAACCCGCAAATGGAACTGCGGTTAACGGTCGCCGCATTACGAAGTGCAGATTTGGTGGCGTCGCAGTTGGATCTGCAGCTGATGGCAACCGCAGGTGGATCTGCGGTTGGTTCTCGGGGGTGCATGGCCGACGCATTTGGAAGTGCGGTTCTGGTCCTGGGTTGTCCACAGTTCGATATGCGGCTAAGGCGAACCACAATTCGATCTGTGGTTGTATGTATGTTGTCGCACTTTGCACTGGGTGTGTTATTTGTTTGTTGAGTTAGTATATTTTTTTTAAACAAATTTTTAGTTGTGTTTGTTAGTTGAGTTAGTTTTAATTGTTAGGTTTAATATATTTTCAGATTATATTTTTAATTACTTTTTGTTTGTTAATATTTTTGAAATTGTTTATTTTTGAAATTTTTAAATTTTTAAATTTTTAAACTTTTATATACTATTATGTATGCAATTTTATTCA